CGTAAACTATCCCACTGTAGCAATAACCAAACTTGTCGCTTCAAATGACCTGGGTGTTGTACAGAGTTTATTAGCTTCTAATCCGAATAACCCTCCACTGCCATTAGTTGAAGTTCGTTGAACACATCTCCAGAACACCGTGCCCGAATCTGCTAGGGTTTTCAGAGTTTTCACTAGGCACACAATAAACTGAGAGGTTTCCGCCCGAACTGTTTCTTTTCTGGAATATCGCAAGACATTTCGTACTAGTAATAGGTGTAACCTTACGCACAGCTATCAACACCGTGCCCAAACGGCTAATCAGGGAATATTGCGGTGCTTGGTGGAGAGAAAGTGTAATTGAAATGGATCAAAAGCCTCCTCAGAAGACTTCCGTAAAGTTTCCTTTCTTGTCCGACCCTCCAATGGTAAGTGGAGTGTACGCGAGAAATGCTGTGAGCCTATTCACAATCACAAACGCCGTCATGTACGTCTGGCAGTGCAATTCGAATGGCACTACAAGTGGCCATCGTTCCCCAATGAGTTTTCATTTATATATCCATGGTTTCCCTTGGGGTGCAAGCATCTCTCAGTCATTCGAAGCTGTTGTTTCTTACTTGTTTTGTTTCCTAGGCTTCACAAATCTTCCGGTCCAGATAAGTAAACTTTTTCCCAAAAAAAGCTGTTAAAATCCTAGTGTATTCAATAGCTTCTGGAGTCCTTGATTCTCAAACTTTTCAAGGATGATGTTTGTCTGTTCCTTTTAGATTACTTACGCAGATTTATGCTATTCGGACTTCAGAAGACATTCTGTCGGATCGTAGTTTAACTGGTCTTTTTAGAAATTGCCCGAAGAGTAGACACCAAATACTAAGCAGTAAGCTGCATAAGCGTTGAGTTCTCACTTATGATTGCTCAGTCAAGTACGCGAACAGCGCACCTAGGAAAGTAAGGCTGATTTTCGCACAGATCGGTGTTGCACTGCTAAACCACTGCGATACTACTGCTACAAGGGACCCATGGAAAATTAATTGTGAACTACAATAAGGAGGCCGGTACACAATCTAGGTCCGAGTGTTTTTGCCGACATTGCAGTTAGCCGCGGTGGTGTGATACTTCAGATTATAACTTTCCAAATAACTATTTCGGAATGGAACTTTCAGTTAATTTGTATGGCAAAGCCTAATCAATACACCACGTTGTCCACAAGCGGACGTCAAAATAGTATTTGTCCACTATCCACGAGCACGTGGCAACCATGATGATTGGAAAAGTACTTTATCGCACGCGCAATCCAAACGCTGAAACTGTCGCTCCTTGACGCACCGGATAAATTGCTCCCTTAGCAGTCGATCCCTTGCCTAGCCTTCTAAGTCTTGTAGCCTCATCGCCTAATGTCTGTTCAGCTGCTGCCAGAGCATCATGAAATCATCGTTCAACTCCCATTTTGGTGGGTGATGCTACTCCAGCGCGTGCTGTCTGTTTACTCACTTGCAGAATTCCGCACACAACCTCGCCTTCATATCTGAGAGCAAACAGCCGGGTTTACTCTTTCGAATAACATGTGGGCAGTTTTCGTTAGTCCCGTCGACAAGGTGCTCAGTGCAGTTGGTAACTTGGCATCGGCTTTAGTTCCGTTACATCATGTGATCGCCGCAAGTGCTTCGATACAAGCCTCTACGTCTCCGTTCGGTACTTGTACTGACTAGGTCAAATTCCTCCCGTTAGCTTACGGCGCCAGTGTAGTATAACGACGCGAAATCTAAACAGTGTTTATTGACTTGACAACCGGTGAGTGACTCACTCACGCCATTAAATTGATATAAGCCTTGAGTTCCTCTCACAACGCACCACCTTTCCCAGAATCCGCTCGAGAGACTTCTATGCGCCTACGCATAATGTACCATTACATCTCCATTTATGTTTCATGCTAGAACTATCCTTTCTGTCCCAATGTGGTCGGCTGGGATGTGATCGATAATTCTTGGTTTGCTCAATCAGGGTTGCGTTGCTTTCCATGGGAGTCAATCCTGGCAGTGTAGCCAAAGGTTATCGCTTCAGAAAATCTGGCTCTTCACCACTACGTCCCTTGTTCTTCTCGGCCCGGGCGCGCTATCATTCGTTGCTGGTGAACCATTCACAACTTGTTCTGATACCTCGAGCTGCTCTAGTGCCTTTCGTTTGTGGTTCCGCCGTTAGTCACTATCATTTTTTCCGTGGCTTTTCTCCATTCCATGCAGTTCTTGACTTTTACGCCAAGACATTGTTAAATCGGAATTCCTTTGTTTAGATTTACGACCTTTCCTAATACGCTTTTGATATACCACAGGACATAGCATTCATCAGATAAAACTGATAAGACCGTATAGCTGGTGGAACCCTATCTCCAGTACTTGTTTCTTACTATGGGTTAGACGTGGAACCATCTCCAAACATGTCATTTCTAGACCTAAAACGACTAAATGGACCAATGTCATATTCCTATTTCATGTTACATCTTCTGTTATATAAAGTCAATATAACGCAACAATATCGTGTTCCCAGGAATTTAACCAGCTTGATGTATATTTGTTAGTATGCGACATATTAAAATGCAGCTCTCAAGGAAAACACCATAGTTCAGCAAAACGCCTCTCCTTTTAGTAACTGCTATTCTTTTAAAATTCTTGCCATCCTTCTGTATTTGTTAAGCATTTTTTAGCCTCAACACATCCTTGTTCCATTGCACGATGGAGTATACAGTTAACGGTGTGCTTTATTAGGAATGTTCGATGGAACAAATGATCGTGAGGATTAATAGACTCAAAACATGACTCATGATAGTTATTAATGACACCATGGTTTGGATTAAAACAAACTTTTTAGTTGTACCGACTGCGTATACACCCACTAATGGTGTCATCCAAAGGAATGTACTTGGTCCTTCGCTTTCCCTACGTTATCTTAACCATATCAAGGTTTTCCTAAAACATGGCAGGCCACTTTTGTTCGTCGTTGGCATATATTTCGACAAGACAAACTCAATAGAGAAATGCTGTTCGTTCAAGAAGACCTCGATTCATTTGAGAAATGGTGCAACACATGGATACTAAATTTCCTAGCTAGTAAATCATGCAGTATGTCACACTGCCGTTTAATCCCTGAAGAGTCTGTCAAACTGAACAATGAAGGTATCTGTGTGAAATAATCCAACTTTGATCTAGGCATATGATACTCTTCAAACTTTAATTTCTCAGAGCAAGTTGAGTATCAAATAGCACGTGCCAAACGATCTGTGTTTAACATATGCCATAAAATCTATACAACCCCTGCCAGACTCGAGGTTTTCAAAGTACTTACACTTCCTGTCCTTGAATACTGCAGCATCATCTATGGGAACATGCGACTTGGTGACAGGAAAGCTTTAGAAAACCTGCAAAATAATTCACTAAGCGTTTGTTGGGTAAATCAAGCTCCTTGAATTATCAAGAGCGCTGCCAGCAGCTTAAGCTCGAACCCCTTGGTTTTGACGACTGAAACATAACCTTATGCTGATGCACAATCATATAAGCCATAAAAATTACTCCAATCTGTGTACACTTAAAAGGGAACATGACCACTAGGAATATATGCAACAAGACCTGTAAATTATGTGTGCCAAGAACCAGAACAGTTATCCGATCAAACTTCTTCCTGTTCAGATACGCTATAGGATCGACTAGCCTACCAGCCGCAATCAGGTCTTTCACAAATGCAAAAGCATTCCACGTTCAGCTTAGCAAATTCCTTGACTAAAACTCGATAATGGCCATGTTTCCATCCAGCAAATTACCACATGATTTCTTTCAAGATGGACCAAGGAATATATAATCGGTGAATAAAGATGGTTCAAAGAACTCAGCAACAACATAAGTTACGTGATTCCAAATTATTTTGCTCTCATACAACTTATATTACTATCTCACTCATGCAGGAGCATGATAATTATTGTGTCCAGGATCTGTCAATAATCCAGGGACAGCTTCTCCTACAATCGGGACATATCCGTATTATTATGAAGTCAAATAAGTACGTAAACATTGGCTGCTTCAGCTGATCCAGAAGCGTTATTCTTTACACTTAACTGGTAAAAACAATCCGACTCTGGTTTCGGTATAACGGCACCATCACATAGTAACACATTTTCGCTGGACCTATAGAGTGCTCTTTTCTAATAAATGCAAACGGCGGATATTAACACTTTGGTTGATTTGGAGACGAACAATGAGATGCTGTTAACAACTCATTCAATGTCATTTAGTCTTGGGATTTTCGATCATAATTGATGGTTCATTCAATTGCTCCATGTTCCGCAATGGGAATACATGTTTGTTGTATTCAGCCAGGTCAACTCTGATGTTATGATCTAAAAAATTGCCTGATTGTTTCATGGAGTTACTCACATTGCTGTCTAGCAGTCACGTCTTCAATAGTCAGAATAAATCGGCAACCTGCCGAGTGCATGCAACTTGGACTATTATTATAAGATGGGCGTTCGCTTACTGTTGGGGCCACGCAGCATGCGCCCCAATCAACCAACAACTCACGTTATTATATTTTGCTTCGATTTGATAGAATGTGTGTAACTGCAAGCTAGCGCCGTCATCTGCTCACTTCTCTTTTCGTTCCTGCACCTTTAAGGTGCAGTAGGTTAAAGACACTTCACCGAGCATTTAACAGTGCCAACGTTCAGTCGCGTTTTAAAACAATTTTTAGTGAAATTGTCGCATAAGCTTGATTAAAGTCAGGATCAGTTAACCTAGGATTTACATTTCCGTCAATGCCCGAGAAATGATTGCGTGCGCTGAACAGAACAAAAAGTGAGTATTTTCCTACTGATTTATTGGGGTGGTGGGTTGACCAAATCTACTTATTCGTTTCACAGTTGCGCTAACCTACCCTTACTGTACATACGATGTTTCTTCATGTCGGCAGAGGATTCTGTGCGTATGAGCTTCCATGGGGACCAAATTCATACCCTATTTGGCTGGTAAAACGTAAGTTTGTAATTCCAAGATTCTTTTTTTTTCGTTGGGTTTTGATTTACAATGTAACTTTCACTAAGCTACGAAAAATCCTTGCCATGTTGTACCCTGGTGAATCCATACAATCGGAGTTGCAACCAATCATGTTATTAAACGCCATACGCAAGCATTTCGATTTTGCCATTCTAGGCCGGCATACTTGGACAAACCGGTGGTAGTACAGTTCACAACGAACAAAGCACTCGTCACCAATTGCGCGTTGTGCCATCATAGTAGAAACCGCATTCGATAAAAGTAAACCCTGTAAGGAGAAGAAATAGCATTGACTGATAAAACCGTCGGGAACAATAAGCCTAAGCGTTTCAACACTGTATAATAAAGTGCTAACTTAGCCAAGCAAATGTGTTATGTCAGGGAAGTGTCGTTGAACTACATGGCTTTCTTATTGCTTCCGGTTGCAAATAAGTAAATGAAACTATTTCACATTTGACAAGCAAGAATACAAAATATTACTGAAAGTTGAATGTATATACTTATTCAATGCAGTTAAAGTCAATTAAGGTATAATGGCAAGCGTAAATTCGGTGAACAAATTTAAATAAATAATCTTACCAAAAGAGAATAATACATCTTGTGTGTTTACTAGCTGAGCAAATGCTTAAATCTCGTATTTATATACGCATGTACATGATGTAATTGGGCAGTCTCCAAGCGCCAGAATATGCAATAACCAACCCGTCTAAGTTAGTGCTTGAACGGCACACAGCCAGTTGCAAACATATGACCAATGAGGGGCCATTCACCACACCGAGGTAAACATATAACGTTGATATACGTTTCCACTGTGCCTCATTAGTCTTATTATAATTGGTCGGTTGAAAATCGAATGTGCTGTTCTCTGCTTAATTCGGTAAACTTGGCATTTCACGTTACTATTTCCATGCTCATTGCGTTAAATGTTTCCACCGTGTAAAGTGTAATTTGGAAAGCCATACACATTTGCGTCAAGTGCAAGATTTCATCACCAATATATGAAGTGATCACTGGTTTAAGTTATTCTTCTGCCTGTAAAGAGCAAAAGTTTCTTTAAGGAAATACCCTGCCTCAAGCTCCAACAAATAGCACACATCTTTGTATTGAGGATTCAAACTCTCGTTTCACTTGTCGCAGTAGCACTACTAATCTAAGTTACACACATTACTCTTGCCTGTTTAATTATACTTTTACTGCACAGTCGTGCTGATCTGACATCTCTTCAGTTGTTCCTATTTTGGATGATAATAGAATGCATGTAGTTTGCAATTATTTTATGTATTTGCTTCAAGTCTATGTATAGATTCTGATTGTCTGTGTTTTGCTTTCGTAAACGGCATTTAAATTCGATATACAGAACGTAATGTAGAGAGTAACAGATAGCAAGTATCGAACCCGGGACTATTGGAATTAGAGTCAAAAGTTCCAAAGCTTCGGCCGCGTAACCGCCACGGACAAAACATCTCATGCTGACTAAAAATTGTTTGGTAGTTAATTTGTAGGTTGTCAATGTTTGATTGGTTTGCGACAAGCAAAGCAAATGTACACCGTGATCCCCACTAAAGTGCACATTTACCAAATCGGGCACTTAGAACGTAACTGCTGAAGCTGATAAACATTAGTTGTTGCCACCCAAAAACACCTCATTCTACGCGTTTCAAACGTATTTGATCTCACCAGGTAGAGATAGCAGGTTAGCTAGAGTCTCCATCGATTTAGACACCGGATCATGACGGGTATTGACTGATTTACTGACTGATTGAAGGGTCAATTTACGGTATTTGTTGTTTGATTGGAATGCAACGCGCAATCTCAATTTGGACGGTGATTAGCATTTACGGGAACCTTGGCCAATGCCATCGATGAGATGTAGTCAAATCAATGAAAACGGTGTGTTGCCCATCCGAAAACACTGCGTACTACGTCGTGTTTCGATCTCAACTGATCTAATCAGGGGAAGATAACAGGCATCGAACCCGGAGCCATTGGGATTTTCGCCGAAATCCGCACCTTCGACCATCTCGTCACGATGGGCAATGCTTGTCACAATCTTAATGAGTGACTGAGCGGTCGTTTGGTAGGACAGGTATGATTGCATTGAGAAAAGTCAAAACAGTGAAGAGCGGAGTTCACGCAAAGGTAACCCTTTCTCAAACCTATTGTTAGTACTCTAGTTACTTAAGCAGATGAATAGTGGATTTGCCCGCCTGAAACACTACACTAATCAACCGATAACTACCCGTTTGCCGTCATCAGGTAGAGATATGATCACAAATTGGTTTCATTTAAAATTATATTGGCTTTGCAGCATGCGAGGCTAATGTTGTGTAAACACTCGCAGCGAACTTTGATTTTGGTATCTTCATCCTCACAGCTGAAGCCGAAACGTTGGGACCTTCGAGCTTTTTCATGATACCCAAGGTTCCGTTAAGTTCCACTATGGCACTGTCACTAGGGGCTTAAGCGTGTATCAATTTATAGTTATTGCGACAGTCTCTTCTAAAAACTTTATCAACGCAAAGGTTACAAGTAAAATACGAGTGTTGACTCGAACATACAGACTACATCATGTCTTCAGATTATCTCTGGGACTTCAAGTCCTTGTGATTAAAGTGGACTAGAAATTCCATTCCCCTCACTAGCAGGAAAAACCAAGAGTAACGAATAGTGTAATACACTTCAAAAGCCGATCGAAATATTGCGGAACGATGAAGGTGCATGTGTAGATTCAACGAGCGCCATAACAGGAACCTTTATCACATAATTTGTGGAATCATTAAACCTCGAATTAAACTATTGCAATTATCAACCTCGAAGTTATTCTCTAAACGATTCTCAGCAATCAATGCCAGTGTCGCCAGGACAAAATCTATGTCTGAATTAAAACATCCATTTCACAGACTGAGCAAAGATGAGATCACATCTGTCGTAGTCAATCACGTTGAAAAATATATTCCCTTTATTCGAATTAATATTTTCTCTTTATCCTTCACATCTTGTCAATATAAGCAACATTGGAGCATGTCTCCGTTTATACCGGTATGTAATTCCGGGTTGAAAACGAGCACACGGAATTACCGCGCAATCAGCCACACTGCCATTCACTCGGGCACGTTAGAATAGTTAACGAACATTTGGTTTCCTTCCTGGTATGGCACCACATACTGTCGTCTTTATAGCGTGGCTTTTTCGAAATGGTACTTATGTGTGACTTGCCAGTTGATTTCCATAAGCATGTAATAGAACCGAATGACCCAGGTTTTCAATGCCTGGTCACATTTCATGAAATGATTTAAGCGGCTGACTTTGTTCCATGCAGTCGGCTACTGTAAAAACAAATAAGTAGATCCGCATAACAAAGCTACCTCACTCCGGACTCCCATGGATCCTGTTAGAAGGAGTACATGTTGTGGATATGAATGGGAACACTCTTCTTGCCGTTTGCTCATTGACAGAGTGGTTCAGGGATGAGTTTTAGGTTCCATACAATTCTTACTTTTCAAAAATGAACTTAGCTCGGTCATACGGAATGAAAACATATTTACAATTGCTGATGGAGCAAAGGTTGTTTACATGTACCAACACTTTAAACAAACCAGCAAGTTTAGCATAATCTAAAGCGACTTAAAAGCCATCAAGAGAGTGGGAGATATATGGCAAATGATTTCTGTGACTTGGAACTGAAAAATTCAGCGCAATGATGCCACGTAATACCAGGATTATTTAGATTTCAACAAAAAGTCACTCACAAAAACCAGCATGTGACGAATTAGGTTTGAGATATTCAAGCCCGCTACACTTTTGCGAACATACAAAACAGATCTGCTGTAGCGCTACAAACTCGCGCGCAGGTAAACAAACGTAGGAACATATGCACTGTAACCTACAGAAAACACAAATTAGACATATCAAGATAGCTAAGATATTGTCCAATTACCTAGATTTATAATCAAATTGAGGAACGTTTCAGACATTGATAAGTAGAGAGATAAGAGGTAACAAACACGTTTATAAATAAAAGGGAACTAATAAATGTTTAACTGTAAATTGACGGGGTGAAACACACATTAGACATAGAGATAAACTAAGTAAAGCTGAAGGTAAAAGGATCATATCATACAGGATAGAAGAAGCTGAATTTGAATTTTATTGCAGTTGGTGCACCTGCGCAAATTAAATCTAATAAGCTGAGCTGTTAACCTCCTCACGTTCTGCTTACAAACACAACGAAGTATCATAGACTTTTAGTTGATTCAGATGACTTCAGGACTGAGCTCAAGAGCAACAATGATTTATCCGTATGGGGACAGTGAGTAGCAGCGTAGTCCTCAGCAAATTGACAAAAGCCTATCATGTATCCTGCGATTCTTCGGGACATTTGCTCAGAAAAGCTAATCAGTTATATCGATAAGACAAAGGCGCAAGAATTTCATGATTAGTAATGTCGAAAAATTTACCTTTTGATTGCTGGAGACGAAGTATTATTAAGGATGCTTTTAGTTATTATTCCCAAAAGAAAATTCGTGTAGTCATGTACACTCGGCTATGCCACCGAACATTTTGCTGGTTTGACACCCAAACCAACTTGGCTGTGGCAAAACATGCTGCATGAATGAACATCCTCGATATCAGTTATATTCATATGCAAATTTAATGTTCATGGTGTATATTATTATTTATTTTATTTTCGCCTATGTTTGGGTGGATCTTCTGAGTTGACTGACTGAAAGTACGCATCAAAGGCGACTGGCCACTGACTCCCTAGAGGTTGCTAAATTAGCAGCATGTTTGCAAAAGTCGTGCAAAGGAACGGGTAACTGGCATCGTCTCCACTAACGTGCGCATTGCAAAAAGCTTTAAAATGAGTTGTTATATCCATAACGGCTAGTTGATTTATTGCCACACCGGCGCACAGCCAGAGGGAGCACGGAAGCATTCAGGGGAATAACCTCTATGCAAGCAGGAAGCCGAGGGCGGTTCCACGGATGGCTGCAATCACTAATGGAATATTTAGGTAAATGGTAATTAGTCCTTCTCCTAGTCTCAAAATAGTTTCTAAAAACTTCAGCCTACAGTTATCTTAAAAAATCCGTTTCAGCTCTTGAGAAAACAATTGTAAAACTAACTGATTTATGTGGACATGCTGTAAAATCTAACTGGAACACTGAGATGGGTGGTACTTCGCACGGCTGAGCAGAATATCCCCCATTTATTTACGTATGAAGATACCGAACTCAGGACTATTGGAGTTGCAGCTGAAACCTCTAATTCTTCGGCAAACGAGTCAGCACAAGGTCAGCACTTGTCACAACAATTAATGGCTGTGTAGTGCGCCATGTTGCATTGCTCTTCGAGTGATTGGATTGCGACACGCAATGGCAACGTGTACCCCGTTTCCCACTATAAGGAACATCAGGTTAGTAAACCATAGGAAGCGTAAGAGCGGAAGCAGATGGACTTTGGTGTTGTTCGCCCGGAACAAATGCAATTTACGATTGATATCGAAATTTCTTGATATCTTCTGGTAGAAATAGCCGACACTAGAATCCGGGGCCTTTGGGATATCATCCGGAAATTTTAACCCAAAGCATTCGAGTTGAGACACGCAACGCTTGGCAAATTGGCTAATGCTTGTGTAAATAAGTCATTTTGACATTTAGGTTGTATGATTCTATTGATATGCACAATCTC